GTCGCCGTCGCCGCCTCCTCAGTCGGACTCTCCGCCATCGCTGCTTCGCTTCCGGGACCGCTCAGCAGCACGTCCGCCGACCAGAGCGGCCGCTGCTCCCGCCCGCTGCCGCACCACCGAGAGCCGGGCCAGAGCGTCCCTCCCTCCGCGTCCCAGCCCGGCCGGCGCTGGCTCCGCCCACTCCCGCCCCAACCAGCGAGAGGGCGCGGCCAGAGCGTCCACCGCGGTCCTCCAGGGTGGGGGCGGGGACTCGTGGTCAGTGGGGGTGCTGAGTCCGCGCCGCTTCTGCGCGGTGCGGGGGCGGGAGGGACTTGCAGGCCAAGCTCAGCAAAATGTTTCATTTCCAAGGACAGAAAAGATACAGAGAGGCGGGTCGTGGTTGGCTCACGCCTGGTTGCCTCAGCACGCGGGAGGCTGAGGCTGGAGGATTGCAGCGTGTTCGAGGCCAGCCTGAACTGCATAGTGAGATCCTGACTCAAAAATTAATAAGTAAATAAATAATAAAATGAAATCTGAAAGAACCAACTGTAGCCTGGAATATAGCTCAGTGGCATAAGTACTTTTAAGTGCTTGCCTGGCAAGCCTGAGGTCATGAGTTCGATTCCCGGTACCAAAAAAAAACAAAAAAAAAAAACACAAAAACAACTATAGCTTTACTATCCCTGGAGCCTCTGGGAGGAGGGGTGATATATATACAGAGAGAGACGCTCTAATAATGACTGGAAACCAGTGGTGCCAGATGTGCTTCAAAATTTAGACACAGCCAGCAGGTGCAGACCAGCACCGGGTAACCAACACAACACTTCCACAGCAACGTGTGTGAATGTCCGTCCGACTCTGGGGACCTCTCTGAATATTCATACAGGGTGAACGGCATCACTCTGGATTACATTTTGCCGCCAAATTTGTTTTTGGAAAGAAATCTTGTTTTCAGTGCTTTGTGCATGTCCAATAATGGCCTGTGGACCTGAATGGCAATGGCCAATATTTATTGAAAGCTCCGGATTTACTTTTTATCTGATATTTATTGAGTGCTTCATGTCAGGCACTTTATCGGCTTTGTCTTATTCATTCCCTTCGGCAGCCCGATGATGTAAGGACTATTATTAGGCTGTTGGGACAGATGGAAAAACAGGCCTACAGAGATCCAGTCACTTCCGTGGGTCACACGGAGAGCAGGCAGCAGAGCGGGGACTGCAAGCCAGGTGCACAAGTTCAAACCGCGTGTGACCTGGCGCCGCGTGGAACTCTCCTGCACTTACTGTATTTTACGTTGTGCCGGTTAGAGCCTTTCAGTTGCCACACCCATCCCCTCTAACACACACACACCCCTGAGGCTGCAAGCCTCTGTTATCTGTGAGTCCAGCCCTGGGCAAGGCACCGCATCCTACTTAATTTGAAAGAAAATCAATCAGTACTTTATACAGATTTCACCCTTTGTTGGTACGGCTTTCTGGTATTTTAGCACCGTAATCTTTGCCAACGTGGAAAGATAGAAGCAGAGCCGGTGGTGCATGCAGGGAATCCCAGCACTCTGAGGCAGGAGGATCTATGGCAAATCCAGCCCCACCCCGGGGCATTTAACAATTTAGCAAAATGAGCTGGGGGTGGTGGTGTAATCCCAGCACTCGGGAGGCTGAGGCAGGAGGATCTCATTGTAAGTTAGAGACCAGCCTGGGCTAGAAAGTGAGCTCAAGCCGGCCTGAACTGCATAGTGAGACCCTGTCTCAAGAAGACAAACAATTTAGCAAGACCCTGCCTATTTGAACTAGAAGTTTCCCTTTGCTTTGAAAGGTGTTCTGACTTTTGCTCGGGTGTGATGTAGTAAGGTGGTCAAAGTTCAAAAGGAAGACTCTGCCCCCTCGCCCCTCCCTGGCCAGGCTGCCAGGCCCTAGGTCGGCTTCTCCCTTGCTATGGTGCTGCTGCCCCCAAGCACAGGGTCTGGTCACGCTGACACAGGGAACAGAAAACGCTTACAGAGGTTCAGAAGAAACAGGTTGCAATTTTAACCTGCACTGTGCTCTTTCCTACTTCCAAATCCGTGGCATGATGCTAATTCCTGCCTATGGAGGTTTCGCTGAGGATTTTTTTTTTTTTCAGTCAGGATCTTGCTGAGTAGTTTAGGCATGTCTTGAGCTCACTATGTAGCATGGGGAAGCCACCACGCCCGGCTTCTCTGTGGATTAAGTGTGACATTTCCACAAGTGTTGTAAAGTGACAAGCACTGTACAAATAATTTCCACTTCACCAGGGGCAGTGTGGCAAATGCCTGTCATCCCAGTACTCAGGAGGCTGAGGCAGGAGGATTGCCACGAATTCGAGGCCAGCCTGGGCTACATAGTGAGTTCAAGGCCAGCCTAAACTGCACAGTGAGACTGTGTCTCAAATAAATAAATAATAAATAAATAAATAAATAAATAAATAAGGGCCTTATTTGTCCCTGTCCTGTCTCATCCTGGCCTTTGTTTATATTTTTTCCTATTCTGAGTACGTCTTCCCTCCTGGGGAAAATCCTTGCAGTTTAACTCTCTGTTCCCTGCTCCGTATCTGTAACCCTGCAGCAGCACTAGTGTCTCATCCGGGGTGATGACGAGGGGATGGTGGGAAGTGGTGGCCAGGAATTCGTCCCCACCGAGCAAAAACAAAACAAAACAAAAAACCAGAACTGTTCCAGAACCATCAGGTCTTTATTCTTCCTCAGCCTTCAGGGCTTGCTGCAGCAGGTTTCCCCTGCCCGGCCTTCTGCTCGCAGGCCTATTATTCTTATTAATCAGCCGCCGTAATTACTCCCTCCTCCAGTTGTTAAGGCTGACTGTTCTCGCCTCCGTTAGAGCACGCACTACTTTTCGTTTTGGTGGTTACTCCTCTGTCAGCCACAGATCGGGCGCCCTGAGGGCAGGAAGCAAGTGCAGCGCTCGGCAATCCCAGTCTCTGGGCTCAGCTTTTTGGTTTTTTTTCTTTTTGTTTTTTTCCGGTACCGGGCATAGAACTCACGACCTTGCGCTTGCCGGACTGGCACTGTGTGGCTGAGCTAAATCCCCAGCCCCGGGGCTCCACTTTTTTGGACGCTACAGAAACGATGAGTAGAAAACTGGGCGCGGGGCTGTGCCACTGTCCTCC